TATATATATATATATAACATTAAAAAATATAAATACAATATTTAATTAAACATTTTTTCGTATATAAATACGATTTTTCTGCATGAATACATATATTATGAAAAAAAATACTTAGGGTAAAAGTGTAAACAAAATTATAAATTAAAGGGTAAAAATGCAAAAAAACGGTAAACTTAAGGGTTTTTTTACGAATTTAATATAATGATAACCTGGAAAACCTGTTATCACCGGTAAAAGGGTAAAACCAAACATTTTTTTGAAAATATTAGGGTAAAAACGGATATAAAATTCAACTTTGGACAAAACCGACAAAACTATTAAAACTTAAGGGTTTTTATGACATTAACCTTAAAAAAAAAAAAAAAAAAAACAAACAAAAAAAGTTTTTTTTTTTTTTTTTTAACAGAGCCCTGTTAAATTCAATTAAGATCATAACCCTCTTTACTCTTCACCTCCTTCTTGTTAGGCGTTATGCTGACCTTCGTTAAAACCCTCACCGGCAAGACCATTACCTTGGAGGTCGAGAGTTCTGATACAATCGATAATGTCAAAGCCAAATTCCACGATAAAGAAGGCATTCCCCCTAATCAGCAGAGGCTCATTTTCGCCGGGAAGCAGTTGGAAGATAGCCGAACCCTAGCGGACTACAGTATCCAGAAGGAGTCCACCCTTCTTCTCGTCCTTCGTCTCCGTGGTGGAATGCAGATTTTCGTCAAGACGTTAACTGGAAAAACGATCACTTTGGAGGTTGAAAGTTCAGATACGATAGACATTGTGAAGTCTAAGATACAGGACAAGGTAGGGATCTCTTCCGAACAGCAGAGGCTTATCTTTGCCGGCAAACACCTAGCATATGGTCGTTGGACTCTTGCTGGTTACAAAGTCCAGAAGGAATCTACGCTTCATCTTGGGATGAAGATCTTTGTGAGAACGCCAACGGGTAAGATCATCACTATGGTAGTTAAAAACTCAATTACCATTGATAAACTGAAGGCCAAGATTCAGGATTCAGAGAAGATTTCACGGCATCAACAGCATTTGATCATTGCTGGGGAGAACCTTGAGGGTCCTAGAACTTTCAAGGATTATAACATCCAAAAAAACACTCCATTGCACCTGAGTCTACAGTTTGGAGATGAAATGCGGATTTTTGTGAAGACTTTTCCAGGGAGGGCCATCACCCTGGTGATGGAAAGTTGGGAAACCCATTCGTGATGTGAATGCAAAAATTCAGGACATAGAGGGGATTCCATGGCATCAACAGTGTTTGATGATTGCTAGCAAGACCCTTGATAATGGTAGAACTTTGAGAGATCATAACATCAGAAAAGAATCTACATTAGACCTTGTTCGGTCGGGAGTATGTGATATGAAGATTTTTGTTGAGACTCATTCAGGGGAGACCATCACTCTGTTGGTGGAGAGCTCAGAGACCATTTATAATATGAAGGCAAAGATTTTGGAGAGATATGGTATTCCACGGGATATGTAATGAATAAATGATATAACAGGTTAACTGTAGTACTTATAGAATATAATGAAAACCGTTCTTTAGCGCACAAATGAAAGGTCATATATGATTCAACAACTGACAATTAGCTATAATCTGTTAAAAAGGGTTAGGTCGTATGTGTCTAAATTCCAAATTTTATCACTGAACCATATTTCTTAGATGAGATAATATGAGATTAAGTTGTTAAGATCAAATGGGCAACATGGGGAATCAACAACCATGAATAACAAAAGCAGCAACAGCCAAACGGTCACAAACATTTGGAAGAAGAAACTTGAGGTATGGATTCCTGAATGACGGCTTCTGATAATAGCAATTAACTCGAATTTAGATACAATAAGTGTTAGGTCAGAATGACATTGTGAGATTTTGCTGTCAACAACTCAACATCAGTGGACAGCATGCAGAGACAACAACCATGAATAACAAGGTAACACAGTAGTTAAGAATGAGGTGGCAGCTTCTGATAACGGCAGCTAAGCACAAAGAAGGAGCCACATCAGCAACAGATGCGATTACAGGCAGTGAGATAAAATGATAGGAACCTACTGAACCATGAATTAAACAAAAGAGGCCCAATTACCAGAGTTCAATGCTTGTTTGAGTATTCTCTTCATGTATTATAACTCCACCTAAATCAGCATGTCATTTGGGCTTATGGGCAAATTAATTTGTTATGGGATTTTACTGTCGATGAGTATTGTAGCCAAATTCCCTTTGATGTTATGATTAAATTGGCGTTGGACTTGGTTTACCATGTTAAACGATTAAGGATTTGTTAATTTGATGGATGGAATGGAATTGAGGATCAAATCCTTAGCAATTCTGGATGTGAGGAAGGTTGTAGATGTTGAATGGACTTAAATTAATGTATGATTCCTGGCTTACCCTTTCATCCCTTGAAAAATAAATGCGTTTTCGAAACTTTTGGAGTATTTAATTCCCTCGGAAATGTTTAGGAACTTCCGAGGGATTTCCCAGGAAATATGTAAAAAATGCATTTATGATATTTTTCTCGAAATTTCCTTGAAAATGTGTAGGAGCTACCAATGCATTATAGTTCCTTGGAAATTTTGGTAGGAAACCCCATCTTTTTCTAGTAGTGCTAGTTGTTGGCAAGATTGGAGTAGGAACTTGGAATCTTGAAGAAAGTGGAGTTATTTGTCAATGTGCCCTAGTTGTTGATTTTGTTGGAATCTGACTCAAATGAGTTGTTAGAGTCTTTATTTATTAAAGTATTGACGTTAAAATGGGACATTGAATGTTGGTAAGAAGTTTAACCATTTGCTACTGTTAAAATAGGATTTCATATTATAAAAAAAAAAAAAAAAAAAAAAAAAAAAAAAAAAAAAAAACAAACAAACAAACAAACAATGGTGGTGTGTGTTGCTTAAGGGGCTAATGTTGGTTAAGAATCGTGATTTAGGAGGTGAACTTTTAGGTTGTGCTATGCCAATGGCAGGTAATATGACATAGCATGGCCATGTTTTGAATTAAAGTCGGTATTTGCATATCCAAGCATGCCATGGATATGGCCCAGATTGGAACTTTATGTGTTTGTGCATTTTGATTTACAACTATGTGCACATACATGGTTGTGGCCCCGATGGAATTGGTGTGATTTTTCTGTTACATGAATATAGCGAATGTTTGTTCTTTTGATGTTTTTATGTTTTGGGATTTATATATTTATTACTCTCTCCGTCTCATGGTAATAATTTATGTTTTCTTTTTGGTTTATCCCAAAACAATAGTCAATTTCTAAAAATAAATATTAATTTTACCAAAAATACTTTTCATTATTATGTAAACTACCATGAAATTACATACAACAAAAAGGTACAATTGTAATTTCATGTTTTAGGATTTATATATTTATTACTCCTTCCGCCCCATAGTAATAGTACATATTTCCTTTTTGGTTTGTCCCAAAACAATAGTATATTTCTAAAAATAAATATTAGTTTTACCAAAATACTCCTCATTATTAGGTAAACTATCATGGAATTAAATGCAATAAAAATGTACAATTGTCATTTCATTTAATAAAGTTAGTGATAATTAATGTTTCCTTAATGTATGTATTTTTTGTCTGTGGACAATAATTTTATGACAAAGGAAGTATTTGTACAAGATTTTGACATATTTTATTAACATCCAAGAGAGATTAGACTTGTGTTCTAATTAATACTGGAGTTTATGTGTTACTGTTGATTTTATATACATAGAACTTTTTTATTGTAACATTATACAAAAAATCTTATAAATGTGTTCAAGAAATATAATTATAACATGCATTTATGGGTTTACCTTATTACCACTTGAAGTCGCATGAACTTGAATTTTTGGTTGACATGATTTGCACACATTTAGGTGCTGTTTGTTTTTTTGAAGCAAAAATTCATGAAGTCTGCGGACCACCTCTACAACCTTCTGCAGTAGAATGCAGTAGAAGAGGTGGACCAAATGACTGCAGACTGTAATAAGAATCGTGTTTGTTTTTTAACATCTACATGCTGCTGTAGATATTAAAAAAATAAAATAAACTGATTTTATAAATCGAATTTTTTTTTGATACCAAAAATTTAATAATGTATGACATTTCAGCAATAATTTATAATATTTCAGCAAAAAAATAATGATATTTCAACAAAAAAATAAAGATATTTTAGCAAAAAATAAATATATTTCATCAAGAAATTATTAATATTTAATATAAAAAATATGAAAAAAATATCAACAAGAATAAAAAAACGAAAAAAAGGTAAAATAATATTTCAACAACATATAATCAATATTTCAGCAAGAAAAAAAGAAGAAGAAGAGGTTGGAAGAGACAATACAAGTGATGCACCAAACAGAACACGCGCATATGTTTTTTACTCTGAAGACTTCTAAAAAATAAACAACTGCGAGATTAAAAGTGTTGCGCGTGTGCTGCGCAGCGCAGCAATACGAGGTCTGAAGAAGTTTTTTTTTTTTTTACAAAAAACAAACATCACCTTAGTCACTATCTTTTTTTTACCTATTTAATCACTGAACTTCTTTTGTTCACATCCCAACGAACCAGTTCGAGTTGGACCTCACTGCTACAATGAAAGTACACTATGATTCATATAATAAATGAGTAAATTACATGAATAGTTCTTATGGTTTGGGGTAATCTATGTGTTTTGTCCCTGACATGTTTTTCAACTTGGACAATGCCCATAATATTTTTGTTGCGTCATTGGTCACTATTATATTAAAAAAGACTACTTTACCCTTAATGATTTCTTTTAAATGACACAAATATCCTACAATGTTTTAGTAATTTGTCGATTCGGTTCCTAAAATTTTTTTGTTGCCTTATAGAGGCATAAAGTGAGTTTTGTCGGTTCTAAATAGTCATTTTTCAATTTCTGAAGGGGTAACCCGGTTACCCTTTGCTACCTCATTTAATTTTGTCCACATGGGATGAAACCTCTTGCCAACTCATCTTCACCTTGCGTCTCTCTATTTCTCGTTATTTCCTTTCTTTTTAGGATCATTGCTTTCAAGGAAACGACACCAGATTGATCGTAAGACTGTGGGGGAGTGGATGCGGTTTGGCCGCACCTTTTGCCACATAGTCAGAGAAACACCCCCTCCCCCCCTGCGGTTTTGGGTGCGGTTTTACCGCACCTCTCCCCCATTTTGGCCGCGAAATCTTATTGGTAGATGGGAAAGTGACATTGGAAAGGTCATATATATATATATTAATTTATCTATATATTTATCTATATATCACCCATTTTTTTTTTATCAAACCTCACTCAAATTTCTTCATATTTACCTATATATAACCCATTTTCTTTTAATTTATCTATATATTTACGTATATGCTATGTATGTTTAAAATTTCTAGTATTTTAATCTTTTCATTTGTGTTTTTTTAAGGTTGTAGGTTTAAGTTATCTAGTATTTGTTTGCTAAGTTTTTAGGATTTTTTAATGTCATGTTATATTTTTAGTTATTTCAATCATTTGATTGTATTTTTTAATGTCGTGGTATGTTGTTGTTTTTTAAGTAATGCAATGTAATGTTTTTTTTAAGTAATGAAAAGTTTGTATTAAAAATGAAGTTTTTTTAAAAAAAATAAATTGTTAAAAAAGGAGTGTGGCACCACTCCGTGGGTGTGGTAAGAAACCGTACTTTTATGGTAAATGTTGTGGCGCAAAACGAGGGAGTTTGACACTATTCCTCCTGCCTAAGAACCAATTTTCTTCCTTCTCTCAGTTAGCACAACCCCCACCACCGACTCTAGATCGATTGCAGCCGCTTCTTCTTCTCTACCTCTCTAATCGATCATAACCCCTATTCTTTGTGTCTTTTTTTCCAAGTTTTGGAGTTGCCAAGGGGAATAGCAACATGCGATGTTTAATTGTGTGGGATATGATGATAGACACGGGACACTTATGATGGAGATCGTGAGTCCGATATGTGATAATGGAGTGCGGTATGGTGAAGATCAAGTAAAATCAAACACATTTCAAAATCGTTTTATCTTCGATTAAAGATCTCGGACTGGTATTTAATTGTGTTGGATGCTTAAGAAACCCATATTAATCCCTGGATGGATTGAGGAGTTTGGCAAGATGTAGATATCTTGATTTTGGTATTTAATTTTGAACTTGTTGTTAGATTTAAGTTTGATGCTTGAAGAAATATATTTAATGTTCAC